TTTGAGATGGAGTCTCCTTCTGTTGCCCACGCTGGAGTGCAGTGGCGCAATCTAGGCTCACTGCAACCTCTGCCTCCCAGGTTCAAGAGACTCCCCTGCCTCTGCCTCCAGAGTAGCTGCGATTACAGGTGCCCACCACCATGCCAGGCTAACTTTTGTATTTTTAGTAGAGGCAGGGTTTCAACATGTTGGCCAGACTGGACTCAAACTCCTCACCTCAGGTGATCCACCCGCCTTGGCCACCCAAAGTGCTGGGATTTCAGGTGTGAGCCACCGCGCCCAGCCTGCAAACATCTGTGTTCTAATGCATAGTTCTTAGCTTTTATTTTTTTTGGATACAGAATCTAGCTTCGTTTCCCAGGCTTGAGTGCAGTGGTGTGATCTCAGTTCACTACAACCTCTACCTCCAAGGCTCAAGCGATTCACCGGCCTCAGCCTCCGGAGTAGCTGGGATAATAGGCTCATACCACCATGTCTGGCTAATTTTTGTATCTTAGTAGCGAGGGGGTTTCACCATGTTGGCCAGGCTGGTCTCGAACTCCTGACCTCAAGTGGTCCTCCTGCCTTGGCCTCCCGGTGAGCCACCTTGCCTGGCCACCATATATTTTAAAAATTAGAAGACTTGGTAAATGTTAAGTTTGGCTATTGTAATTGTCAGATATGCGTCAAAATTCTAGTGCTGGTTATCTTTAGGTAGTGGAATTATAATTTTAATTTTCTTTTGTACACATTTCCATATTTCTCACAATAATGCATTTTCCTTTTGTAATCAGAAAAAAACATTTAAAGAAAAAGAATTAAGATTTCAGTCCTTAGACCCAGCTTTATAGTCAACTCTCTAAGCAAGATAACTCTGCTCAAGGTAATGCTCACTGCTGTGGGAGAGTGATTCCTCAGTGGATAAAGGCTTCGATATTTTTGGAAAGGACTCCTAATCTTTGCTACCCTCTCTTCTACTAAAAGTCGAGGTGAATAGCATTATCAAACAACTAAAAAATACTTGTATCAGGTCAGCTCTTCAGGATATTTCTATTCTTAGACATCATAAGATTTGGAGAGCAGTGCTTTAGAGAAATTTTAGAAAGCTAAGGATTATAACAGATCTGGACATTTCTCCCCCACCCCCTTAACTATCACAAACTGAAAATTTCAGTGATGGGTCACTCATTTACAGGAAAAAAAACATATAAGAAATTTGGATTACATCATTCATCTAACATTTTTGATGGCACTTCTGTCTGTGCCTATTCTAGTAACTATACATTACTCAGCCAGGCAACTGAGATCATTTTAAAGATAATTTTCAGGCTGGGTGCAGTAGCTCATGCCTGTAATCCCAGCATTTTGGGAGGCTGAGGTGGGAGAATTGCCTGAGCCCAGGAGTTCGAGACCACTTTGGGCAAGAAGGCAAAACCCCGTCTCGACAAAAAAATACAAAAGTTAGTTGAGCGTGGTGGCGCCCACCGGTGGTTCCAGCCACTTGGGAGGCTGAGGCAGGAGGATTGCTTGAGCCCAGGGGTGGAGGCTATAGTGAGCTGCAATTGTGCCATTGCACTCCAGCCTGGGCAACAGAACAAGACCCTGTCTCAAAAAAAAATAGTGATAATCAGAGTGACTTGAAACATGGATCTGAATCTACTGGAGTTTCCACTTTCAGCTTCGGGACTATTGGTTCACACCCAGATATAAACATATCAAGAGCAAATGCCAAGAACTTTTCTCTGGATGTGACGTCAGTGTATGCACCTGTGTGTATATTGCCGAGCCACCGTGCCTGGCCCAAAATATTTTTTTTCAAGTGTCAAATGACGTAATAATTAGCCATTCAAATTAAAGGGGCCATTTTAAAGAATTAACTTGGGCAGGTGTGGCAGCTCATCCCTGTAATCCCAGCACTTTGGGAGGCCCAGGAGGGTGGATCATCTGAGGTCAGGAGTTCTGAGACCAGCCTGGCCAACATGGTGAAACCCCATCTCCACTAAAGAAATTAGCCAGGCATGATGGCACCCACTGGTGGTTCCAGCTACTCAGGAGGCTGGAGCAGGAGGACCGCTCGAACCCGGGAGGCAGAGATTGCAGTGAGCTGAGACCTCGTTATTGTACTTCAGCCTGGCAACAAGAGTGAAACTCCAGCTCAAAAAAAAAAAGTTAACTTTGCAGTAGGGGAGATAAGAATTAAATAGAACTGGGCCGGGCGCCATGGCTCAAGCCTGTAATCCCAGCACTTTGGGAGGCCGAGGCGGGTGGATCACGAGGTCAAGAGATCGAGACCATCCTGGTCAACAGGGTGAAATCCCGTCTCTATTAAAAATACAAAAAATTAGCTGGGCATGGTGGTGTGTGCCTGTAATCCCAGCTACTCAGGAAGCTGAGGCAGGAGAATTGCCTGAACCCAGGAGGCGGAGGTTGCAGTGAGCCGAGATTGCGCCATTGCACTCC